AGGTTCTCACATATTTCTTAGAAACAAACTAAACCCGTCAAGTTGAAGCGGAACACGTCTGTCTTGCTGGTATATAATGTAAAAGAGAACAATAAACGGGTCTGTCAAGTTTTCCCGTCCTTTGGGTATTAACTATATCAAGTAATAAACAATCTGAAAATGTTAAGATTCTTTAATATAAATATTAAATATATTTAATATAATATAATTATTTATATTTTATATTATATTTATATTTAAGTATAAACGGAGCGAGTGAGTTTTAATCGGATGTACGGTATAGAATGAGGAACCCTCATATATAAATGACCGTGTATACACCAGACAAGATATAATTGCCTATTTGCAAGTATAATTCCCGGCGGTTTGTGTTTTCATTTTATTACCCGCGAATTGCACCCGCTTATTAGTGCAGCGACGCATTCACTTAGAATAAAGTTATTTATAAATATTTTTATTAATATTTCATTGTATTGCAGTTCTATTATGATTCGTTCGAATAGTTTAGTTGTATTAGTACCGATTAGATACTATGCTTGTTGAAACCCGTTTAATTATTGTTTACTCCAAGTTAAAAACATCTTACTGTTATTATTTTCATTACTAATTGTTGTTTGGCTTATTTTAAGAATTTCACATGACTTGCGTTAGCAATCTCAAAATTAGTCAATATTTATTTTTAGCGTCAGCCCTTATTTCAAATTAATTATTGTCCTTAAATAAATTTATAATTATTGCCCTTAAATAAATTAATTGAGGAGCTAATTTTCAAAAGGGTATCTTTTTATATTTTAAAAGACCAGTTTTCTGAACTTTTAAATATTAATTACTTCGAGAATTATGAAGATTTATAATTGAAAATCGAATCACAGCTTCATAACCGATAGCACTTTATAGCTAAATTAAAAAAAGTACAATACAAATATTTATAATTGAAGATAACCAATTTTTTGTCTCGATTAATTAAAAATGAAAAGATACCTTTTTGAAACTCAGCTCCTCAATTATAATAATAATTTCTTATTTCATTTAATTGATATAATTTATTATATCATAAGAAAATTAGAATAAAAAATTACATGTAACAATAGTTTTTGCTCATATGTGTTTAATGATTTATTATTTTATCAAATAATCAATCCATTGTTGAAATTTACAGTCAATTGAAATTACCTTAACATAATCTAAAATTAAATTGATACTTGTATTTATCGCACTTAAAAGAAAGCTTAAGTATAGTTTGTTTTGTATGAGAAGTATTAAATAATATATCAAAATGTCAAAACATACTTAAAGTCTTAGTGTTAAAATTTTTGTTTCATAAAAATTTTTTAATTTATAAAATAAAAGATTCAAAAATTTTCATAAAAATACAATATTACATTTCGAACTTCAAATGACGGCAATTACTCAAATATTACTTTTTTTTTTTTTAAATAAAATAAAATGTTTGAATGCAATCAAATTATCTATTTAACCGTCAATTTTATTTTGTCGATAAATATTATTAGATCTTAATATTTATTAAAACAATATAATTTTTTTTTCGCATTGAAATTTAAATAACTTAATTGCATAAATTTATTTATTCTATAAAAACTTAATTTTCTAAGATTTATTACTGACTCTAAAATGACTTAATTACCAGCCAGTGACTCATAAAATATTAAATTATAATTATGAAGTTAATTACAATTCTAATCTTTATTTAACATTTACAATAAAATCCTTGTTATACAAAGTGAACGTTTATTTACTTTTAATTCACAAATTATAAGTGTATATTTTGATTACATACAGTATAAGAACTTGAGTAACCAAAATAAATATAAAATATCCAAGTCTCAATTGCGACACTCATACTCGGTTTTATTTAAGTTCATCGAGTTACACTTGCTATGGTTCTCAGCAGGGCGCGTGCGACGGCAACAAAACCGTTTTGTGTTCCCTATATTCCCAGATATTGAATATAATATTCGGACACAAAAGATACCTATATGTGAACCGCACTATTATATATAGAGTTTATAATATATTATATATTATATATTAAAACGTCCTACATCGACCTCAAAGTATTTTTTTTTTTTATATTAAGTTACCAAAATGACAGCCAGTCCTTATACGCTTCAGTTTTTAGAATCTGGAATTTAATAAACTCTTTCAGTAGTTTTTATATTACCCAAAGTAGCGCTCAACTTTCTGTTCTTAATAAAAATTAAAACGATTTTAATTACATAAATAAAATCAAGTGAGTAAAAATTTTTTTTCGAAATTAAAATTCGCTCCATAAATCCCAAAATTATTTCAAGTTTTTAATAATAAAAATTTACCGTCGGACTTTGTTATTTATATAAATTAATTTCCATCAATTACTGCTAAGTTCAAAATATATTCACAATACATATTCAATATAAATGATTGAATAAAAAAAAACCACAAGGATGTGCCTGTCGTAAAAGTTGTTAATAAAAATAAAAAAAAGCAGTCCGAGTGACTTGATCGTACTTTTTTTAGCGTGTAAATGCACGTGGAAGATTTTGAAGTAGACGAAAATGACAAGGCTGTAGTTCTGGTATTTGGATTGGTGAATCTTATATTATATACCTTATAGTTTTCGAGATCGACAGACTGCTGATATATATTTTAAATAATTTTTTTATCTGACATTCAATTCATACATGATGACTTTTTATACTTTGTAGCATATGTATATAAAATATGTAATATGTACAAGAGAATGGTACAAGTCCAACTTTCACATACAGAGAAATAATTGGAAAGTCAATTTTTAGTTCACTTTATTATTTTATTAATAGTTATATTTTATTATATTATTTTATGTGTTTGTATCTATAATATATTTCTATTAGATTGATATATTAAATAACATTTTTTTTTTGTCAATTAACCTGTAATTAAATAACTTGGTTATAAATTATAAGCTCCATTTATAATTATTGCATCTTTTAGTGTTATAAATATAATAATAATAATAATAATAATGATAATATAAACGTATAAATAATTCTTATATTATATATTTCTCAGATCACAAGTACGTGTTAATGTTATCTATTGGATATTTTATTATTTTAGTTACCAAAGTCTGATTACCAAAATTCGATAAGATTGCGCCGGGGAAAAGATCAATCGATCGTTATCATATTTATTTACGTCAATACGACATATTTCAATCAACGTTTTATTATATTTAAGATTTATATTTTTTTATAATAATAGAAAGTTTAAATTAATTATAATTATAATTATTTCGCGTAAAATTTATATTGTACGTTTGTAAGTAATATATTACAGTCATTATTGCCAGTGATTTATAAATTAATTTTTATATACATATTTGTTATATTGGTATTTAAGCACCGTGGTTTTTACTTGTCTAATAGATTTATTTTCGACGAAACAAAACCGCTTATCAACTGTCTTCAAGTCCAAGTTCCAAAAGTATATCTTTTTTTATAATCATAATTAGGTTTCATTTTTATCACTTTTTACATTTATTACTTATAATGATAAATTATTAACTATTTCATAATTTATCGAAGAGTTATAAAATTAATGGCCCTTAGTTAATGTGTAAAAATAAATTTTGAATTAGTAGACAAAGTAAAAAATGTTGTGGTAGTCTTAAAATTCTTACAACTTGATAAAATTGTTTTTTACTGCAGTAATTAAGTTATAATGTGTTATTACAGTCTTTTTCATTAAATGAAATCAAATGTTAACGACTTTAGCATTTAATATATACACACACACACATATATATATATATATATATATATATATATATATATATATATATATTTATCATCTAAAATTGATTGGAGGCTCGTTTTTATTTTACTTGTTTTTTTCAAATTATCTTTTATATTTTTTAGAGTCTTAACTATCATAATCAATAGACGGTTTTCCCTTTCTTGATAACTTTTGTATTTAGATTTAGAGAATTTATTTCAAAATACGTACGAAATTTAACTTGGAGTAAATCCAAATAATTCTTCATTAATTAGCGTATTATCGAAATTTTCAAAAACGGAGTTACTTAATTTCCATTTAGCTAAATTATTAAAATCCTAATTTATAAATTTAGTTTTACCTAAAAATAATCTTATCATATAAGTTTTTTCGAACACATATTCGGATATATCTTATCATTAGTTCTCGAGTACTTTATATTTGACAACGATCAACTGTACCTGCTTATATTTCTAAACACTTGGGATAAAACGGTTCTTAGTATTTTTTAGCAATTAAAGTTTTTATTTGAGTTTTTATTTTATTTTACTTATTAGCAATAACTCTAATAGCTTTATTTATTTCAAAATCCATTAAATGATATATTTATTTTTTATCAATTATTTTCTAGATATTCGTGAAAAAAATCAGCGGTCACTCTCAATAACTTTTGATAGCGTAGAGCGAAAAAAATAATAATTCATGATAAATATTAATTTTTAAATGTTATCACGCACAAAGTAACTGTTTTATACTCCCTACTTAAATATTAACTGTCCAATTAAAAATTCTCATATATGTTTTTTACTCATCTATATATTTATGTTTATTTTTATCTTATCAAATCGCTGATAAAAATTAACAATTGACGAAAACTTTTTTAAAATCGCACACCGTTCATTCTATGCATTGTTCTTGTAATCATTAACTTATTTTTTAACAATTAATATTGATAATAACAACAATAATAACAATAAATTTTTATTCCAGATAGTCATTGAGGTGTAAAAATAATTCACGAGGGTCAAAATCTCCGGAAGCAACCCTCAACCTACAACAGTAAGGGAAAGCTAGCTCTGTTGATTACCTGGTGCTTCACTTGCTTTTGCGTGTGATACGCACACGCAGTAGCGTCCCCACCAGTCCTCAATCCGGACAAAAAAGGAAAAGAAGATTATTTTTCTCTCAAACCGGACGGGGCGCTTCGAAGCGCACGAAGTAAAGCTACAAAAATTCTGGACATAATGGACATGAGCAGCGATTCGACCCCGACAAGGTGGTACGAGCCGCCTAGGAGTTCCCTCGAGTCCGCGGGTCCTGGAGGCGCGGGTGTGCCTGGAGTCAACCCTGACTACAGAAGTTACTACCCTCATCCAGCACCGACGCCTCACCACCCCTCAGCTACCGCCCACTATGCTCACAGTGAGTACAAATTATCTCTATTTATCAATTATCATTTACCTCATTCTTTTTTTTTTAATTAATTGTTTTGCGTAAAAGAAATAGTGAAAAAAAATTAAAAATTTTAATTTTTAATCATTAAAATGAATTAAGAGTTAATTTAACCTTCATTTTTTAATTGTTATTTTGAGGTGTGCAATTTGAATTTTAAAATTACTAACAAAAAAAAAATTAAATGGATTCAAGAAAAAAATTTTTGAATAAAACAAAATTTGTTTAACTAAAAAAAAATGAATTCAAGAATTTTTTTGTCTTGAATCAAGACAAAAAAACTCTAAATTAATTTTCTTGATCAAAAAATTTTTCTCTTGAACAAAGTTATTTTTTTTCAGTCTACTTTTCATTAAAAGCTTTCACTCATCTATTTTCGCTCTAATAAAAACCTCTGTATATACTCTGGAGATCTCCGAATATTTAAAGTCTGGCGTCGGGTTTCCAACCCCCGAATCGTCTCGCCCACGACTAGACTAGACTCTTTACTACTATCCAAACATACACTTGTACCGTCCAACACATTATATTAATGAGTAAGCAGCTTCTTTTAATCTCTCGCAATAAGTGAGATGGTAAAAGATTGCCGGGTCGATCACCCTCTCGATTTCCTCGGATCCTCGTTGGCATGTGCCAAGTATTTAACACGCTTCGCCGTCACAAGAACAGCGTCAATGTTATCGCGACTTTACATCCGACTCTTTCTCGTCTCTTCTCATTTATCCAACTTAAACTAAACTCTTGATTCCTTTTTCTTTTTTATTATTACCATTATTATTATTATTATTATTATTATTATTATTATTATTATTCTATCGTCCCTTACAGTCAACACTCGGCTAAATAAAACTAAACTGAGAGCCTGTTAAATATTACCAAGTGAGCGTGATTCAATTTGAGCATGCCGATTTTATTCGTGGAAACGTTGACCAACATCCTAGTCGCTACATATATTTATGTATGTATAAACAAACCGAGACATTAACTATATACATATTCACAAGTATACGAAAATATAACTACACTTACTAAATGTTATATATTTAGCGATCTACATGTGTGTAGATAAAAAGAGACCCATGTAATTCGAAACTCGATACTTGGGCCCTTAGAACGCGATATGTCTGATTTTGCCGACATTATCATACTGATCGTAGTTCGTAGTTCGTAGCTCGTGGCTCTGCTCCCTTTTCAAGATTTTATTCTTCCCTACACTTGTGTTATAAGTATCTCTGCTCCAAAAGCTTGACCTCGGATCTCAAACTTTTCGGCTACTTGTCTTACATTTTAGTTTTTTCACTTCTATTCGGTTAGAAATGGAAATAAAGATTTTATTCAAGATATAATTACTTGAAAATCCAGTAAAATGTCTAGATAAAATTATTGATAACTCATGGCTGATATTTAACATATTTTGAATTTTAAATTAATTAAAAAGTATTATCTTTTGTTAACTGATAAATAGTTATGAAAGTATAAGTCAATGTTTGGTTATTAATGGAAATTTAGTGCAGAAAATTAAAGATAACTATAGTTAAATTTGTCGATTTATAAATCGACAAATTTAACTAAATATAAAATATTAAGTCATGGTAATTAACAATTTTTGATAAAAAAAAATAATTAGTATTGGTAGCTACTAGTTTTTGCTTAATATATATATATATATAATTAGTATAGTCTTAATGTTCAATGCTTAAAATGAATTAACAATTTGTTTTTAATTTAATTTTCTTTAATTTTTATCATTATCAACAAATTTATTATAAGATAGTGATGTCAGCCGAATTCACTAAGTGTGTTATACATACTTATATATTATTGTATATGAGTACAATTAATAACATTTTGATATAATTTAATCGCCTTCAATAATTACTTCACCAATAAATTGAAAATATAAATAATTTCAATTATTTTTTAGTAAATTCTCAATTACAAGAAGTGACATTTTTCTTCAACAATTTACATGCATAAAAATAAAAAATTATCAGATATCAAATTTCAATATAATCAAAATTCATCACGAATAAGTAGTACAATAGGATAAATATGAATGTGTAGCGGTATTTAATGTTGATCAGACATTAAGACAATCTAAATATGAAGACGATGAGATTTTGAGTAATTAATTATTAACAATCAGATAAATTTATTTTAAGTCATATCTCATCAAATTTTTTAAAGAAAAAAAAGGAATAAGTTTTATTTATATAAATCGTTTTCCGCAGATTGTTAAAATTAAAAAAATATTCTGTCGAAGGGTTTTGATATTATTTTGATAAAAAAAATTTTATTCACAAAATAACCATGAGTAGAGAGAGCTAGAGATAGTTCGTGAGAAAAGCAGGATTAATAACGATTAAAAAGGAAAGCAGTAGCATAAATTCAATGTCGTGCCCGAACAACCGTAAAGTTTTAAAGTAGCTAAGCTGTGTCTACATTAAAAAAAAAAATTAACTTTATTCAAGTTAAAAAATTTCTTAAACCAAAAAATAATTTTATAGAGCTTCATAGTCTTTATTTAAGTAAATTTTACTTGATTCAAGAATTTTTATTCTTGAGAAAATAAAACTTTTTAAAAGAATGTTCTTGGTTTAAGAATTTTTCTCTTAAATCAAGTTAATTTATTTGTCAATGTACAAACCAAACAGAGCTTAATGTCTATTGTCTGGCATTAGGAATATAAAAGTAGATGAAATGAAGAGAATAGAGAGCAAATAAGATGATATTGTCTTCTAGACATGTAAGTGTACTATACAGGGGTAGGGAGTGAATAAGAAGGCGTAAGAGCACGGCGCAGTGGTTGCGGCAGACAGGAAGGAAGCGCAGCCTACCGTAAAGCCACGGGGTCTGAGAGAGGTGCATACATAATTGCAGGCCACAGGGAGGCGCGCGCTGATGCTTCAACTCTTCGTTTTGTAGGTTACATTACATTATGTGTGTATATATGTCCTCATACTTCATACTTATACTTACATACTACACGCTCGATACAAACTTGAGCTCGAAACGTTTAAGAATATGCCTCATCTTTGTTCCTGCTCCCGTGTTTATCAGATCAACTGTCACGTTTGATCGATCATTGATCCATTGACACTGGAGCGCGGGTTTTTTCGTCCACTCACTCCCCAGAATAAATACAACAAAATTACATATTTAAAGCTAACCGTTGAATCTTGAATTGAATACCGATGTATGTCGCGTCGCGGTGATCGGTGATCGCTCGTGGGGGTCAAATCAGGTTTTTATTTTACCATACTCTTCGGATCTCAGATTTTAGATTTGAGATCTGAGATGTGCGATTTAAGAATAAGTAAAGGGGCTATACGCTTAGTGGAAGCGTTTATAATACAATAATGAGATTATAACTATAACACTTGTATTAATATATACATTAATAATGAATTTATTTGTATTTATTTTATCCACATACGTGGATTTACATGTGAGCTAGTGTCGGTGTGTTGAGACGCGAGAATACACGGTGGCTCGCGGCTCTTGGACGCCATCTTGTGCAAATGTACACGGCAACCGAAGGCGGAGCCAAGAGGAGACTCGCGAACGGATCATCTCAGTTGCAGCCGCGAATTCGCGAATTGTAATATGATTGAATTTTTAATTTTTTGATTTTTTGAAGCAAAATATTGAGGAGTTTAGGTTGAAAAATTACCGGTTTAATAACAATGTTTGTTACTTAAAAATTGTAAATTTTTTAAATTAAATGAAACAATTTTTCAATATGGAAAATTTGAAAAAAAAAATTTTAATTAATAATTTTGAAGGCAATTTTTTTAATAAATAAAATTGAAAAAAATTTTTTTAGATTTTAAGCCGATTAAATATAAATAATTGATTTGATGATTGAAGTTTTTTTTTTTAAGTTTTTTATGTTGTGATTTATCAATTGATATTTATTTGAAGTGATTATATATAAATTAAAAAAAATTATTATTAGGTTTTGAGTAACGGGATAAAATTTATTATTTCAATAGGATTGTTTAGGTGCAGTGAGTGATGAAAGAATTTTAAAATTAGAGTATCGAAAAACTGTGAAGTATACGGGTCAATTTCACGGTGAAAATTGTATGTTATTACGGGGATAAAGAACAGGAGGAACGAGGGAGAATAATGATGAACTTAAAGAATAAAAAAGTACATCTTGCTAGAACTATATTGCGCTGCTGGGGGCACTTGTGTGCATGAGATGTTATTTTCTTAGTTTTTTTTTTTCTTATACACTCCACGTATATAAATTTATCGGGTCCTTATTATTGTTAAATATATATACCGATATAAATAACATAACAATAAGTGTAGTGGTGTTGGATCTCGGTGGGTTCAAGGAAGTTCACGGTTTATACTTTAAACTCTAAAAATATATTTATTGAGTGCAACTTTTAAGAGTTTTTATTTTATCGCGGATAATTGTTTTATTTACGGTCATTTTTATAGCTCTCTAAGTGTATGGAGCAATTATAAAAATATATATACGTGAATTGAAAACAAAATTAATGTATAAGTAATTTAACGCACTGGTTAGTTATTTGTATTTGGAGTTCAGTTATTTTATTAAACAAATACCTGGAATATCTGTGTATATTCATAAGCGCAACGACGTGAGTAATTGCAGTTTGTTATCCCTCGCGCGTTAAGATATTATATGTATACAATTCTACTTTACTGGAGATTAAGAGAAATACATGAAAGTGAGAGCAGCCCGATTCAATCTCACAGTTTACTAAACACTAAAAAAAATATAAATAATATATTTAATTATTTATACGCTAAGAAACGAATGGATGAATAATTTATGGAAATTTTTCAATTGCAGTAATAAAATTTCAATACTTGCATTCAATTCAATATAAAATTTTTATTTATAAAATTTAAAATAAAAAATTAAGATAAAAAAATATTTAATTAATCGAGTGATTAGTTCATTTTTAAGATATACTAGAATTTAATTT